CTCCACCTCGCTGCCGAGGGAGGCCGGAAGGAGGCGGTGGAGGCGCTCCTCGCCGGGGGCGCTGACCCCGACGCCCAGGGGGAGAGAGGTAAGGCGGAGGGAAGCCGAGGACGGCGGCAGTGTTTTTATCATAATTTTTGTAGCTGTTCTTTTTATTGTCATTATTATTATAATTGTTGCTGTTCTTGTATTTGTTATTATTATCATTATCATTATTATTATTATTTTTTATTTTATTTTTATTTTTTACCATTATTATCATTAGTATTACTAGCATTTTTGCTTTATTATTATTATTGTTTTTGTTGTTTTTATTAGTAGTAGTATCTCATCATTATTACTTTTTCATTATAATTATTATTTTCATTATAATAAACATTAATAAAAATCCTTTAATCACTTTCATATATCTGAAGCCGATATTAGTATTTATAGTTCCATCTCTCATATGAAAACGTTTTCTTATTTGTTATTATAAAATATCAGTTAATTTATATTCAAATTAATTATTATCTTTAATATATCAATGCTATTATCAGTGTTATTCTCTTTTATTAGTAATATTATGGTTGCCATTGCTATCATTATTAGCATCAGAGCTATTATTATTATTACTGTTACTGTTGTTAGTATTTTCATCATCATCATTATAATGATGATGAGGAATGTTGGTGTTACTATAGATTCTGTTCACCATTTATTTTGTTTTATTATTTTTTTTCTATCTTCATTTCATTTGGCGATTTGTGGAACGTAACATCTCAAGAAGAAATATTGTCTCGGGAAAATTGACTAATTGACACTTCTCGTCATAATACAGCTCGATTGGGGAAAAAAAGTGGTTTCCATGCCATTATTTTGCGGATTGAGGGCACCTTGTGACTGTTTTCTTCGCATGCGAAGAAGTGGTCTGAGATTCTGTATTCCGTGTTTATGAACATCATTTTTCTGTCACTCAGAGTGCGTTGTTTTGACGGGAGTTGCCAACTAATCAATTTCCTAGAGCCAAATGATTTGTGTGTGTGTGTTTGTCTGAAAAGAGGGAATCTCTAGGCCAGTTTTTCTACTTCTTGCCAAAGTTCCATCTGAAAAGGCGGTCATTTCAGAGACAAGAAATGCACATCAGTAGTTGTTATGCGCCACACTTGGCGGGGCCCTTCCTGTCCCTGCGTTTGCTTTCATCTTCGTCCCTTTGTCTCTCTCCTCCTACTCCCTCCCTTTCTGTTACTATTCTTTCTCTCTCCTTTTCCTCCCTTCGTCTATTCTCATTTGCCTCCATTCCTGTCTTTCTCCCAATTCCCCCTTGCTGTCTCCTCTTTCTATTGACATTTTCTCTCTCCTCTCTCCCTCCCAAGAGAGGCAGAGAGGAGGTATAGATAGAAAAAAAAGGGGGGGGGGGAAGAGAGAGAGAGGGAGGGTAGAAAGAGTGGGGGAATAGAGAGAGAGAGGGAGTAGAGAGATAAAAAAAACGCATTTCTTTATCTCCATTTCCTTAGGCGAGAAGAAATATTGTCTCGGGAAAATTGACTAATTGGCATTTTCCGGTTAATCCCCTGTTATTTGTGAGAAAAGAAAAATAGTTTGCATGCCATTATTTTGGACATTGATGGCGCCTAGTGACTGTTCTCTTCACACCATTGGTGTTTTTGCTCATTGGTGGTCTGAGCTTTTTTATTCCGTGCTTATGAACGTCATTTTTCTCTCATTCAGAGCGCGGTTTTTTCCGAGAATCAATATTTGTACCCGAGATATTTAGGCAATAATTGCAAATGATGTGTGCATATATTTGTATCTATGTGTGTGTGTTTGTGCGGGTGTGTGTGTTTGTGTATACAAGTGTTTTGTGTGTGTGTGTTTGTGTATACAGGTGTTTTGTGTGTGTGTGTGTTTGTGTATACAGGTGTTTTGTGTGTGTGTGTTTGTGTATACAGGTGTCTTGTGTGTGCTTATGTGCATTTGTGTGAGTGTGTTTGTGTGTAGGTGTTTATCTGTTTCTGTTTGTGTGTGTGTTTTTGTGTTTGTGTGCGTCTGTGTTTGTGTGTCTGTGCATTTGTGTATGTTTGTGTTTGTGTCTGTGTGTATGTGTGTACGGGTGTGTGTGTGTTTGTCTATATGGGTGTGTTGGTGTGTGTGTTTGTGTTTTTGTGTGTATGTGTGTGTTTAATGTTTGTGTGTGTATGTGTTTTGTGTGTGTCTGTGTGTGTGTTTGTGTGTGTCTGTGTATTTGTGTGTGTGTGCGTTTGTGTGTTTGTGTGTTTATGTGTGTGTATGTGGAGGCCGGCTACATATAAATATATATATATATATATATATATATATATACATACATATACACAAATATATAATATATATATATACATATGTATATATGCATATATATTTTTAAATATATACATGTATACATTTACATATATGTATGCTTGTACATGCATAGATACATACATAGCAAGATGGTGGGAGAGAGAGAGAGTGAGAGTGAGAGTCATAATATATATATATG